GTATGTCAACTGTTTGAAAGTAGGGCATTTACGTTAAGTTGACTTGGTTTAGTTAGTCAATCATTTTATACATATATTTATTTATTCTATTTTACTTGATTGTATTGTTAATAATTATAGACATCTGAAGTTCGAAATTCCAAGTGGAATATTTGAGCCTCTCTTGGATAAAAGTCTAGAATGTCTTACCTGATCATAATTGTATATATTTATTGCTAAATAGCAGAATTTGGTTACGTAAAAGTGATAAAATGATGCCGTGACAGACCCTGAACCAAGCGAAGAATTATTGAGATATCCTTGTAGGTTTCAAGGGATCCCTTAGTCGAGCAGTCTCGATTAGAGCTCTCTTTGCTTTGAATATATTCATGTGGTTGCATATCAGCAGCTAATATTATTGGGCTATATTCCACCTTGTCAATTCAATCAAGAACAGTCTGTAAGGGTTTCAGAGAGAGATAGAGGGAGAGAGAGAGAGGGGGGCGAGGGAGGGAGGGTAGCAGGGGGTAGGGGCAGAGCAGAGAGCGTGTGCCAATTGCATTTAGAATTTGAAGCGCCATTTACTGCTGTCTGGCACATCGGGCAACAGCTAAGAGCTAACAGCTAACAGCTGACAAGGAACAGTTAACAGGGAACAGCCAACAGCAATGAGCTATCAGCTTTGTCTTGTGTGTTCGTCCTGACAGCCGGTAATCAACTCAGTTGCGCCTCGTCCTTTGACCCCGTGCGGGAGGTCCTTAGCGCTGCGTATGCGGGTGCACTGGCATTTGCAGTTGGTTTATTTCGCTGCGCGTGCTGCGAAGCTTGACACAAAGCTATCGCGCTACCACTTGCCACTGCCACCCGGCTCGGCTCCTCCGACCCGCGCACTCTCTGCAGCCCGGACGGAAGTCCCTTGGCGGCGCCTTTGAGCGACGAGGTCCTTTGTTCAAATGCGCTGCACGCCTCGTTATGCACAAACAAAGCGCTGCGCTTCAATTTGGCAGCAAATTATAAAAGGCAGCGCCAACAACTTTGGCTGAAACTTTGGCTGCAACTTTAGCTGCAACCATAGTTGCAGCTACAGCCAGAATTGTAGCTAGACAATAGCTAGAACTGTGGCTCTAGCTAGTTGGCTATAGTTATATTAAAACTCTCACGTGCTGCTCTGATTGATCGATAGATAGATATTTCAAGCAGTGTTTCGATTGAACCTGAACTGACAGGCGAGACTATTAATCAATGCCAGATGAAAGAACAATAGGTGAAAAGGATTCGAGCGACCGTTATTGACTGGGCGTTGCTCGCTCGCTAAGCAACTTGATCAATCAATCAAAATGGGAGAGAGAAATTAATTAAAGAGGAGGAAGGAGAGAGAGAGGGAGAGAGAAAGAGAAGGAGAGAGGGAGAGGGAAAGAGAGACAGCAGAGAGAGGAAGATAAAGATCTTGGGAGAAATTGAGGCATATACAGAAAGACAGAGAGAGAGAGAGAGAGAGAGAGAGAGAAAGTAAGAAGATTGGAAGAAGGAAGATGGAGAACTTATAATTGAAAAGAATTGGAAGAGAGTGAAGAGAGCGAAAGAGATAGAAAGTATTAGGAAGAAACACAGAGAAAAGAGGAGAGTAAGTCCGAACGACATTAAAAAGGGGACTAAGTTTCCAAATTTTAATTGAATCTAAAATGATTGATACTAATTCAAAAATTCTACTAAATTGAAATAGATATAGATTATTATTATTTCCTTATTTTAATCCTCTTAAAATGCTTATAGGTAAATGAGAATTAATTCTAAGCTAATCATAGCTACTATTAGCTTAAAGACTCTTACGTATACCCAACATGCATAGATGTATATATTTTAGACTGAGTATTGAGATGTCGTTCACTCAGATCCTTTCTCCCTGGACACTACAGTTGAAGCTAATAAAGACATGTGCCACAACATTCCGGACTGAGAAACTTTCCAATCGTAAAGTTTATTAAAAAGTCCATCAAATTAAGCGATACGAAAATACTAAAATAAAATAAAATAAAAATAAAACACTTTGCATTTAACAGGGATTAGATTCTGAGGAAAAGTGCTAAGGTTTCCCTTGTCAAAAGTTTTTGTACAAACTTCCCAAAACTTTTCCATGGCAAAAAGTTTATTTTTAAAAATTCTATCAAAAGTTATCCAAAAATTCAAACAAAAAGATATATTGATGGAAATTTGAAACCAAAAAATAAGAAAACCAATTGGATGTTGTTGACAGGAAAGCTCGAAGTTTTTTTTACATGGAATCCATGTATAAGGAAGTGAATCTAGGTACCAAATAACGAACCTCTATTAAAATTCAATAGTTATCGATTTGTTGATCGATAACCATAAAAACTACAAATTGAGATGCAGATTTTTCAGATGGAGCATAAACTATTCGCTGCTGATTACATTTGTATACCAAAGATCGTCTCAGTTGCTTTACAAAATCAAAAGACACGTCCATTAAACAACAATTTACAGGGTATAACAATTAAAGAGCTTCGATTGTATGTACAAGGAAGCTGTCAAGAAAGAATTTCTTGTAGCGTTGCACAGAGTATGTCTACACCTAGGCCAATTAGGGGTAAGAACGAGGGAGAGAAAGAAAGCACGAGAGAGACTGTTAGTGAGAGGGGGAGAGCATCTGTTGTTATTGCTGAAATGGAGCAGCAATAAAGGCAAAGGCAAAGGCAAAGGCAAAGGCAAATTAATTTGCGGACATTTGAGACGGTCAAAGTTCGAGCGTAGAATAAATGCGGCTGATGATAATGAGGCCTAGGCGGAGTTTGCCTTTAACCATGATGAGGCCATGGACCACGCTGATAATGATGATGAGATGATGTTGATGGCTGCTGGGCATTACCGCCCGAGGGTCCTTGACTGTAGCCAGTTTGGGCAAATGGAGGCAATGTTAAGCGATGAAACGTTATCGTTCGCTTGGGCTACATTGATAACTAATGTGGGCCCATTAATCGGGGCAGTCGGTAGTCGTTGTTGTTGCTGTAACTGCTGTTTGCCAACAACTTGGCCAAGCAATTGGGCCGAAATGCGTGTTAAACATTTTATGCTAACCGACCCGGCTGCTTAATAATTGAACAATAAAAAATGGCGTTAAGTAATTTGTGTATGTGGAGCTCATAAAACTCTCGCTCACTCTGCCACGCACACACACACCCGTGCACACGCACACATGTGCATTAATTGTAAATTTAGTGTTCGTTTAAGTTTAATGATTCGTGGCTATAAAATTTTAAAGTTTATTACCAAAGCGCAGAGCCAACAAATTACGAATGCAAAGACTTGTTCCTCTGCCCGCCTACAACGCACACCCTTACATACAGACATATATCAAAACAAAGGAATGAAGGAGAGCGAATGGGCGAAAGAGACAGAGCGAGCCCCCCTGGCAACAAGAATCCACTGATTCATGTTAATTAAATGTGACACAAGTTTAACAACTTTCTTTTGGCACGCCTCGTTTCATTGTCGCTCAAATATCCTGTATGCTTGTATAGCAGGTGGGGTGTGCTCGCACAGAGGGAAGAAATGTTGTTATTCGTAGATGGCGATATTGAAATCTTCCTTTCCAAAGAGTTGCCTAATGAGTATCATAAGGGTACTTTCTCTATCCTGGTTAGTTCGTAGTTTCCAACGTATCTGCTAGTCGATCATGCTGCTGGAAATTCTACGCGCAACATATTGTTGCAGCTGCGAGCCGCACACATTCGTTTGCCATTGTTACGGCGATTACACGTCTGCCTGCCCCCGGGCCAGAGAGTCAGCTGGCTCCCCCATGCCACTCCATGCCGAAATTCGGACCTCAATTTCGATTGCGAGTTCGAGTTTGAATTCGATTTCGATCAATGGCCAAAAGTTTTGCGCTTTTAATTAGAATTTTAGTTCACAGGCTGTCCGTCAACGTGTAGCTGTGGGCGTGGCACATTGAAAGTTTGTCAATGTGCCAAAAGGCAAGTCCGTGAATAGTGTCTAAACACACACAGACACGCGTACGCTCCCACACACAATGACATCCAATATGAAGATGTTTCAATATTAAGCACCTGGACCTGCTGCTGCTGGTCCTATTTGTGGCTGAGCAAAGTTTTTAGTTGGCCGTTTAGTTGTACTGCCAGAGTTCGATAAGACGTGTGCGAGCCCAAAGTGTTTAGAAAATTGGAAAAAAGTTTATTGAAATGAAGAGCGAGCAAAAACTGGCACACGAAGACTGCCTTAAATAAAAGCATTCATTTGATGTCTGCTTGGCCACACACAAAGAGCACATGGACTGTATGGAAAATGCCACACATAACAATGATCTGGTCACACTCTTGGCATGCATGCATTCATGACTGTCATATTGACAAATAGCCATAGTCCAAGCATGGGAGCCGAAAGACATTAACATTCTTCTGCTTCTGCTTCTGCTTCTGGTTTTGCTTTGGCTTTTGCTTTAGCTTTTGCCTTTGCCTTTGCCTTTGCTTTTTTGTCTCCAGAAAAGAGCCGTTGCAATTGCTCGTCCACCGTCTTTGCTCAGTCTCGCTGGCTCTCGCTCTCTCTCTCATTCTTTGTCTTAATTTTGAATACAAATTTAACAGCAGCCATCAGCACCCCAGCGCTCTCTTTCAATTTCAATTAGAAACTTTAACTGCACACACACACACACAGAGACATTTAGATGGTCGAACAGACAGAGACAGACAGCAAGACACACCCACACAGTCTCACAGTTGTGCGGCGCTGCTTTTCAAATTGTCGTCAGCAACTGCAGCGACTGAACAGTCGAATGGTTTCTGCCGTTACCGCTGCCTCAGCTGCTGCCTCTGCCTCTGCCTCTGCTACTGCTACTGCTACTGCTACTGCTGCCTCTCCTTCTGCTTCTGGTCCCTCCCTGTCAGCAGCTGGCTGCACATTGCTGTGCGTTTCTATTCCACTGCAATGTTGGGTGAGAGCAATTTAATTTCTTTTCAGCTGCCATTCGTAACGTCTTGTGATGAAGCTGCAACGACTTGGCATGCCCCTGCACCGCAAGTATCCCTTCAACGAGCCAAGCTGACTGTGTATAAGTAAAAATGAATGTGTGCAACTATTAAAGTAAATCACTTAAGCTGCTTGCAAAAATAAAAGCAGAACCTCACTGTGGATTTCTTTCGCACACACACACACACACATACACACACGCACGCATAAAATGTGCCCGTCATATACTAAGAGAAATGACTTGAGTCTATGCTAGATGGAGGCACATACATACATACATACATATGTACATGTCTACATGTGTACATGTGTACATGCTTAAGTGCGGCTGTTAATATTTTGCGGCTTTGAGTGCATTATTCAGCATTGGCTCGACCGTATGTAGCGCAAGGATTAGACTATTTAAAGAAAATTACGTAGTTATCCTTGGGTCCAAAATGCATGTCAAGTGCAGCGCAGCGACACCGTCACCAGAGAGCGAAAGCGAAAACGAGAGAGGGCGACCGTATAATTGAACGGTATTAAATCTGAGTAAGAGCCAGCTGTCTCGCTCGCACCAAGGCAATAGGATCTGCACGGCGCTTAAATGAGTGAATGTGCGACCTCAACTATCTCTATGTGCTTACTTATACTATTTATATTCAACTGAAATAAGGCTACCACTAGATTCGAAAGGTGTTTATGAGATCAAGGGTGCTAAGCCGAAGCTTTCTGAACTAAATTCTCTCAAGAGACTAAAACACTTAAGATGTCAGTCAGTTTTGCAGTTTTCTATTCTGTTCTAACATAGTAAGCGTTCATTTTAGCTTAACGCAATACGTTAGAAATTCTATTATTACTGCATCACGACTAACTAAATCTGTCTCGATTTTTCCTTAAAAAAAAATAAATGAAAAAACGATTTAGAAAAAATAAAAGTCGTGAAAATATATTACTTACTAAGCCGGAAGAAGCAAACCGAAACAAATTGAAATGGAGCCCATCTCAGTGAATGTAAGGAGTGTAATGGAAGTCTTTGCCAGATTGTGTATCATATGCAACTTTCTGGCCGATTCGGTGCATTTGCTGAAGGACTGGACTCTGGAGCGTGTTCTGCTCAATCTGAACTGGCACTGCGGCGACCTCTTCGCCAACTTCTATATAACAACCGTCGTGGCCATCCAGCTGATAGCCTGCAGTATGGTGTTCTTTGCCAGTAAACGCCAACTGGCAGCTGGCATACTCGGCCTGTTGATCAACTTGCGCATTGCCTCGAACCCCATGCTATGGAGCCTGGAGATGTATACCGATATGTGCGCCCTGATCCTAACCATCGTGTTGACCACCGTACCGCACCATCGTTTTCTTCGCTGCGGATTTCTCATTGTGGCCTATATGACCTACAAGAGCATTAATGATGGCTTGTTCTGGCGATTTATCCATCGCTACGGGGTCAAAATGATGATCGCTGTAGTCCTGAGCGGCTATCAACTGAAATGGTCCTCGGCCTTGTTGCTTACACTGCTCGTCGCTCAGAGCTTCAAGGCCTACGCTTGGTGGGTGCTTCCCTATTCACTCACCAATATGCCGATCATATTCTACTTACGTTTTAAGTTCTGGCAACTGATTTCGATGCTGGGCGGCCTAATACTGACCGCCGTCAATGTCCAGGAGCTTTAAATGTTATACTACAAAGCTATTCTATTTATACATAAAATGAGTAATGCAGCTCTACCAATAAAATGTACCGCTTCACTACTAGCACTGGAAAACAAATTGCCAACATATATTGTTATATTGTATGCAGTCATCGTTCTTCCTATACTAGTTAACGTAGTTAATAGTTTACTTTTTTACTGACAACACCTGAGGGGTATTCCAGTAATTATAGTCGTAGCGCTTGTTCACTATGCCATTAAAACTGTCATATATTTAACAGCCGGTAATGATATACTAATATACTATACTATTAAACTCTTGTAGATTTATGTGCTATGCAGATGGATTGTTATATCGGTATAACACATTGTTATACATTGTTACTGATATATTGCTATGTAATGAAACTGTTATACTGAGTTGCTATAAGCTGTTATACGGCCATATTAGTATACTGTTATACTGTTATACAAATATATTATTGTTATGGTATACTTTTATGCCATTATATTTCTATACTGTTATACTTTTGATTATCTCATATTAACACTTTTAAATTAGGAATTTTTAGTATCTCGTAATATGCAACCTCCTTAAGATTTTACATGCGCTTTACCAACACACCGGGGTAGGAGATACTAAAGATTAATGGGAGATTACACTGATTACGACTTTATACCATATGCATACATATAAAGTCTTGATTAGCATTAATAATTAAGTCGGTAAAGTACCTGCCCTGTTGGCTCTCTCACTCTCATTACTGAATGAATCTGTAGCGCTACGGTATATAAACTTCTTTCATGCAACTTTCATTTATTACTTACCTTATCTGGGCAACATACATAATTCTCTGTAGTTGGGCTTAATGTGCTTTTGGTTTTTGTTTAGTAACTGTCAACATTTTTCATTTTTTGCTGTATGTTTTAAAGTGATTTTCCATGCACTTGCCTCGTAAGTGCTTAAATATTCCTATGCACACACACACACACACACACACACACAGACACACACACTTGCACACAATGTACTGCATAGTTGAGCAACCCTTGCCTTGTTCTCACACCCTGTGCGGGTGAGTGACTGTCTGAATAACTGGCTGACATTCGAGTTGTCTTCTATTTTAATAAATTTTTGGCGTCATGTACTCGTATGCAAGCAAGCGCGACACTTGACAGCAACACGAGCGAAAGGACTCCGAGAGGGGGCCGCGCGGACTGAGAGTGGCTCGGTGTTATTACTGCTGGCGCCACAGTCGGTGTCGACATCGATGTGACGTCACTTTGCGCTGGCGACATTGTTGCCACGTTGCAGTTGCTGCGACTCTTTCTCCATTTGCAGCACGAAAGGCGGGTCACATCAAGGACAATGCAGCTATGTGTGCGTGTGTGTGCGATTCGCTTTATTTATAAGTCTGGCCACGCCCCAAGCATTGGGCAACCCACCTATGCGCCAATTTCATTTATTTTTGGTACATTTCTCTTCAAAGCGTCAGCGCTATTTATCATTTGGCATCTGTGGGCCAAAAAAAAAAAAAAAAAAAAAAAACAAAATAACCACCAGAATCACCAGAGCTACCTGAAGCCACCCACACCTGCTCAAGCTGCCTGTCGCTGTGTCCGTTTGTCGGAATCGTTCTTGCGTTTATCAACGCTGCTTCACAAGCAGAAAAAAAAAAAAAAATGAAATAAAACAAGAAACTGAAAACAGAAAAGACAACAACAAAAACCCAAACAAATTGAGCGTTCCAGACCAAAAAGCTGTTTCAGCTTCATGAGCTCGAAGCTTGAAGCTCTCAAATGGATGTAAATGCTCGCGCATTGGCAGAGGAAACTTTTCCAGATAACTTCTTGTTAAGATAATCGCTATATTGTGTCCATCGACACGAAACAAATGCCTTCTGTTTGATTTTTTAGTTGATTTAGCCCGGAGAAGATGTTCGAGCAAATATTCTAAATAAATAGAAATTAAATTTGTTCGTACTAGTGCACCTGGGAAAGTGGTTATACGGCGGAAAAGGGAGGGGGGATGGTGACGGGGATATAAAGATGAAAAAGAGTCATTAATTTAATGGAATATTAATGGAGTTGCATTTGTAAATATTTTGTATTAGTTTTAATATTATTTTTGATATGCATATACTTTTCAAATTGACTGTATATTATTATTTTAATCAAGAGAATTGATTTAAGTCTAGAATATATAAAATGAATATATTTTAATGTCTATATGTTCAGCAATCTCTTTAAGATTTTTGATACGTTATATTATAAATGAATCAAGTTTAGTTTAGATAAGCAAAGCTTAATTTCTCGTGGCGTACAGTCTGCACAAAATAAATCTGTTATAAAGCATTTAAAAATCATACGAAAGAGAATATGCTTCGGACTTCTAATTTATGAAGATAATTAAGCTGAGCTTGAAATTGGAAAATAAAATATATGTATATACTTTTAGACATATATGTATAGAGTGAGAGATTTGGTAACTGTTATACACGTACCAATGCCTACGCCTTAAGCGCTGTTATCTTGATGTTTCTGCATCTATAGGTATTTTCACATACTCGTAATGGCTTTTGCAATTCAATTATAAATTGATTACGTTTAGATCCTTAGCAAAGGACAATATGCACCGTATATGTACAGTCTGCACAAAATATGTCTGTTATAAATCATTTAAAAATCATAAGAAAGCGAGTGCGCTTGGGGCCTCTACTAATTGCATTCATCAAGGAAATTGAGCTCAACTTCAAATTAAAATATAAAATATGAATGGATTGGTTTATATACATACACATACATATATATACCTATATGTATACATCTATATAGATATATATGTCCAAGATATATGCATGCAGCTAGTAACTGTTATACGCTCTTGGATGCCAGCTGAGCAAGTGCTTCGTTTTGCGATGCAAAGTGAATGCTGAAATCGAGCAGATATATTTTATTCAGAGCCTCGCGCAGTGGCATTTGGGCCACATTTGCCTTAATGGCCGTAAGAAGCACTCAACAATCAAACCGGGCTGGCTCAAGTCAACGAAAATCTAACGACCGGTGTGTGTATATGTGTGCGGCTGTGTGTGTGTATGTGTGTTTGTGTATTTGAAGATATGCTTTTTCTTTTTGGCAGATGTTTGTGTTGGGGAGCCTGTGAATGACATGACATTTGACATAGTTAAGTTCACCTTTACACACGCGCAAGCAGGTAAAAAATATGCCTATTCTGGTAAAATGAGCAAACGGCGCTGGCATGCATAAAATATTACAATATATCAAAAGGATTGCTAATACATAGGGTGGCTGTGCCACCCCTAACTACCCTTAACCAATCTCGCCCCCCACCCGAGGAGAAGACGAGAAGAAAAATGAAACCATCGCAGGTGTCTGTCTGCCTGTCTGTCGCTCCGTATCTATCTGCGGCATCTAGTGACAAGGATGCTGCTGCACACTTTTGATTTTACACGCTGCTTACCTGTGTGTGTACCTGTGCGCTGGCGTCTGTCTGCGTGGGCGTGGCTGGCTGCCTATGCCTTAAGTGTGCTCGATTTGAATATGGCAAGTGGCATTGGATCGAGCAATCGAGCACAAGCCAGGTGGCACACACACACACACACACACACACACACACACACACACACACACACACACACACACTTATATTCGATATGATTGCCACTCGTGTATGCGGGGCACGCTTATCGGGCATGCCACACAATTATTGTGGCTTAATTCAGACATTATTAATCGACAATCGTGTTGCAGGCAATTTATTTGCCACTCAAGCATAATGCTGAATGCCTATTAGAGTGTCCATTTATTTACTTTTTGCTGTTGATAGATGTAGAGCGCGACATTTGCGTGGCATAGACAGTGGGCGATGGGATTGCTCGACTACCAGATACCCTAGACTCAAGGCAGTGCTAACGTTTCAAACATCTGCGCCTCTTCTAGCCGAAATCGAAAGAATAAATACGTTTTTATACCCTGCATAGTCCAAGCAGGAAGTTGTCCATGGCAGGCACTGACGAGGCGGTGTCGGGGCGTGTGGCAGAGCTATTACTCAGCATTATGCAATTTCATGGCAACTAAACCGTCAAACAAATGCAAACTTACCAAAATGACAGCGTAACAAAATAGAAATGAGTCTGTGATAAAGTCGTTCATTCTTCTTATTATTTTTATTAATATATTATGTTGATTAAAGTCTATTAATAGGCTGCATAATATGCAGTGCATATCATATATGCGAGGGTGGTCTTAACGGTTTCTGATCAATTTGGAAATCATTAACAAGCATGACTTTGTTAATGGGATTTCTGGGCTTACACTTTCAGCAGGGAACAGACCCAATGGACCATACTGTTGATGAGGAATGCGAAAAGAGTTGATTTATCATAGATACCGATTTATATATGTATATATATATGTATAGCGTATATATTGTCTATGAATAGGGGCATTATGGCGCTCAGTTGCTGCTCAGATTTAAGCCAGCTGGCCAGACTCTTAGCCTGAATTCCCTGCAGCTTCAGCAGGACACAAAGAAGAAATCCTTTGACTGCAGTTAGCATTGCATTGTCCTTTTCAGTCCATTCCTTTCCTTTCATTTTGTTCTTCTTTCCTTGTCTTGCACCGACTCTTGAAAGGCTGCACAAACACAAAGCGGACGCACAACTTGTCCTTAAGTGCAGGGCAAATAGTGTTGGGGCACGGGACAGAGTAGGCGAAATGCAAATGCCGAAATTATACAGCAAAAATCAAGTAAGCGAGCTCTAATTAAAATTCACATTTAGATACCCTGCCGAAAGGAATGTTGGAGCATGGCTTAGGGACTTCTTGGTAGGAATGAAGGAATCAGTGAAAAGCAGAGATATACCAGAAGAGTTCTGTGTGAAGAGAGAGAAAGATAGAGAGAAAACGAGAGCAAGAGTGGAAGATGTAGAGCGAGACAGAGAGAAGGGCAGAGAGGACAAATGAATCAGCGTGATAGAGAGAGTGAGAGGGTGTGAGCGAAGGAGCGAGTGTGAAGGCGAGGATGAGAAAGAGACAATAGGAGAAAGATTTAGAGAAAGAAATGCACAAAGAGATATATCGTAGCATCAAACGCTG